TTTGCCATCACCCCAAGGCTCTCATGGTAGCACTGGGAAGTAAGAGAAAAGTAAACCATTCACATGTTGCTTGGGGTCACATTTTTAGCTGTTTATCAGGAATAAGGCAAGCATGCTTGGACCTTGAGCTCCTATGTGATGGAAATTTTATAAAAACCTCAAGGCAGTGTCTAAAAAACAAATTGTTAAAGATTTTTAGAAAAATAATTGCGAATGGATGAGGGGATAGCTCAGAGTTAGAGCACTTGCATAGCAGGTAGCGAGGCCTGTGCTCCACCCCTGGCATTGAAAAAAAATATTATCACATGGTTATCATTTCTCAGAAGGCTGGAGTCAGCCTAAGAAGTGAATAAGACTCTTCCATCAGGGGATGCAGGCAACATAGAACTCACATCTTTTGCTCAAATGTTCCCAGTGAGACCTATTTGTTTTCTTAAGAAGCCCCCATGGGAACCATGGTCATTGCAATATGGGTGTCTAGTTCCTATCTAGAAATCACCCTTTTCCTAGAGCAAACTTAGAAATATTTCCATTCCTCTTTCTTAGAAACATTCGTTTTCAGCTTTCAAAGGCTAATTTTTGCAGAGTCACTGTGCATTTTAAGCACACCCCAAAAAACATGCTTAGTGAGATATGATGTCCCTGGTCTTCAGCTTGGAAGTAGAGCCCTAGCTTTGGGATATTCAACAGGAGCCAGTGATGTTGAACTACATTTAAATTAGTAGTGCTGGTTCTTAAAAAAACAAGAAGAAATGATTGGATAATGTTACCAATTTTTTTCCAGACTTTTAAATTTATGCACTTGTATTTTTGTTTAGTTCAGGATAAGCATACTACTTATACACACATTTCCACATGCAAACTTGTAATTTTTCCTGGCTGCCTAATTATCTATTTTGTTAACCTACTACTTATGACAATACACAGGTGATATTAAGTTTTCAAACATTAAGGCTATTTTTTCTTTTTGTTATTATCTTCTGCTACTAATATATAAAATAAATCGCAAAATAATGATTTATAAGTTTTTTTTGCAGTTTTACGAAGCATATTCTTCAAAATGGAACTACTGGGCCAAAATATGAATTTGGGAATACATTGCTCTGTTATTTCTGAGTAAATTTAGTTACAAACAAATGCATAGGTAAGTTTTTTGCCATTATACTTTATTATTTTATGAGAAAATATTTTTCTACATTAATAATTCTACAGTATATTGGTTATATTGAATGAAAAAGACTTGTAAAATACAACTAAATAACTCTAGTCATGTTTCCTGTGTCCTTCAAAATGTATTTTGTAGAACTGATCTTTTCACTGTTTCTCTGTCAAAACCAGAGTAGACTTCACTACTATTCTGGTTACTCTTAGGCAATACAAATGATCCACCAATTTCTGATTAAAATATATACATAAATACCATAATCTAAGTTTCTATTCTGATTTTAAATTATTGTTTTTATTCTTGTTCTTCCTTGGATTCAGGATGTGGATAGTGTGGTCAACTCCTCTTTCTTCCTCTTGTCACCCCAAAAGCTTCTAACCCCTCTGGAGTTGGAACACAGGAAGAATGTTCTGTTTAGACTGATATCTTGGTGTTGGTCTATCATTTTCCACTTGGCAGAGATTTTTATCTAGACCTTTCCTTTGTAGGTGCTTTTGTGGGTTGCTCAGAATTTTCCCACCACTGGGACCTTCCTGCTATTCTCTGAGCTTGTGCAAACCCACGTCTCAGTGGGTTCTCTGGACTTGTGCAAATGCATGTGTCTCCTGTGTTCTTCTGTCCTTAGGTGTCTGGCAACACTCTTCTTTTTATTAATAACTGTTCACCAATCCAGCAAGTCATTTTCAACATGACCAAAGACAACCCATACCAGCGATTTTTTTTTCCACGTGGACCATATAAAGCCTATAAGAAACTCTATAACCACCCAAACCTGCAAGAATTCTTGTCACTCCCAGCTTCACAATGTCTCCTAATGCACTTTCAGAGCAAGACTAGGGTTACCTATTTCCCCTTCAGATTTCTCAAGTGACAAATTTCTCTTACATTCAAAGGACAAATGAAGGCTCATCCACAGACCCCGAGAGCTCTCAACCTGAAGTGAAATGGGAGGAGACTCATTTTATACTACTGAAGATTGAACTCAGGGGCCCTCGACCACTGAGCCACATCCCCAGCCTTATTTCATATTTTATTTAGAGAGAGGGTCTCACTGACTTGCTTAGCGCCTGGCTTTTGATCATCCTGCCTCTGCCTACAGAGCTGCTGGGATTACAGGCTTGTGCCACTGCACCCAGCCTTGAGTTCTTATTTTGAAGAAAGTGTTTTTTCAAGGAAGACTGCATATCTTGCAGTTGAAATTTAGGAGTTCCACAGTGCTTAATTTGTGTGTTAGTTCCATTAGCAGCTGTTATATACACATTGCAAACATTTCTTTCATGAAAGCCCTGAACCTCCACATATTTTTTTAACTAATTCTCTAAGGTGAAAAGGAGAGCAAGTTAGGTTTTCTAGAGAGCAGGATATATATATATATTGCAAACCTTCAGAGTGAGCGGACATTTCTTCTTGTACATCTACTCAGTTAAAGAGCATATGGTAATATTCCGATGACAACAGATAAAGAATGTTGGTTGTGAAGAAATGAGGTCAGCATGCACTTGCATGTCCCTGTTTCTTGTGGACCTGTTCGCAAATGCCACGATATGGAATCTGCTTAGATGTCCATCAACAGATGAGTGGATAAAGAAGTTGTGATCTAGATAGACAATTAATCAGCTATAAAGAAAAGTGAAATTATGTCATTAGCAGGAAAATGGGTAGAACTGGAGGGCATCTTGTTAAGGAGACAACCCTGACCTGAAAAGACAAGTATTATATTTTTCTTTCATCTGTGGAATCAAACAAAAAAATGACCTGATAGTAGAAAAAGGACTGTTAGGGAAGGAAAGGGGGAACAGAGGGAGAAGACAGAAAGGGAGAAAGGGGGTGGATATGATCACAACATGATGTAAGCAATTCAGTGAAACCCATTAATTTGAATGATTCCCATGAGGTAATAATTATAATAATGATAAAAGAATATTGTTTGCTCAATTTTGCACAAAAATGAGATGACAAAAAGAATCCTAGGAATTGCCTTTCAAGGCTAAATATTTCCATGGCATATTTGGAGTGACCTCTCTGTAGAACTGTATGCTGCCTGACAGGTAAGAAGCAAGGAAGAATTGGTCTCAGGTGACAATGATCAGAATTGCCATTTGCTGAACACTTAGGTGGTGCAGTTTTACCCTGCAGACCTCATTTCATAAAAACCTCACGACACTTCTGTAAGGTGGTTTAACTACATTAATCTTCGTATTACAGATAAGGAAACTGAAGTTACGTGAATTAATAGTGAAGGTTCAGAGGCTGGGGATGTCGCTCAGTGGTAGGGTATGTCAGGAGCAAGACCCTGGGTTCAATCCCTAGCACCCCCCCTCACCCTCACCCCTACCCCCCGAAAAAAAAGAAAGTCAAGTTCCAACTTGGCTCCAAAGTTCATTTTCTTTCTACACTAGGCCTGCCTGCCTGACTAAACCTTTTATAACATTGTTATGAACAATACCATTTTAAATATTAGGACAGGGTTCCTGAAATAAGGGACAAATTTTGTTAAGCTTCTCAGGGATTTAAAAAAAAAAAATGAATTAAAGTCCTTGCTCTTAATGAATCACACTTAAACTGAGGGTGAACTTCAGATCCTAGTCGGGCTACAACGTGGGTACGATGACGACGTGTTTCACTCTAAAAGCTGAAGGTGACGCTGTGGTGGCCCGCACAATCGGCCAGGTTCCCCAGAGTGTGTAAGACAGTCACAGGCCTAGGCCGACTGCTGGGCAGAATTAATTGTTTATTTTTATCTGGACAACATGAGGCTTTTGGGAATTACTTGTGAGGAATTTGCTACGCTTGATAGGATAAATGCTCGGAATAAACCAGAAGTCTAATGCTCAGTCACTTCACATCAGTATCAGTGAGACACTGTCACCATACTGTTTTGACTGTTTATATTTTTTTTCTTCTCAATGTCCCTCACTTTTCTCTACTCATGAGACCCTCTGCTCACATCCATACAAGAAAATACCCTGCACTGAAGAGTAAGATGTTCTCCCAACCTCACCAGCCCAGTCCCCAGCTTTAAGAAATTCAGCTGGAGTCATTCATGGGCCCACGCTGCCTTCCCAGGAAAGATTTCTGTCTTACATATTTTTTTCTTATTTAATTATTGAAAATACAAAGAGAGCAAAGGTTATTTCTTCCCACAAACACCAAATTTAGGTGTGAAAAGTTCACATCAAGAAGGACAGAGAATCTGGCCAGAAAAGTTCAAGGAGGGTTAAAGCAATTTGTACTTTAATTATCCTCTGAATTCTGTTGCTCTGGTTGAGACAGCACAGTTCTCTCATCTCTTATTGTCGGTGACTTATAAATTACTTTAGGGACAAGGTTAGTCTTATGTCCTTTCTTAGTTCAACATTTTATGTTTATTTGACAAAGTATACTTGGAAGTGCCTTGACCCTTGGGTCATTCATTGGATTAAATTAACCTAATAACATTCTTAAAGCTATTTCACAAAAATACATACCAATAGTCATGTTGTCTTCTTTTTTCACTCTTTATTTTAAATAGGTGAGTTCATACAAAAACATTCTCTGAAAATATGAGATTTAGATTTTTTTAAAAAATTTATTAGAAAATAAATTTGTTTCCAGGCCCAGATATAAATACACAATTATTTACTTAATTATCACACAGCAATGTAAAGAAAGAAACATTGATTCTTATTCTTTTGGAAAATAGACTATCACAGGAAGGTCTTTCTTATCTTTGTATGAACTTTTTAAGTTTGGCTCTAAATGAGTGACAGCTATGTAGCCACAAAGCCTTAGCCTCTTATATCTAGAAACTTCTTTTAGGCAATTTAAAGCATTTTATTAATGAGAGAAACTAGAATGGGATGGATTAAAGAATTTAATTGAGGAAACATGGAGACAGCTATTAAAACAGCATGTCAAGTTTGTACATCTTGCTGCCCTTAAGAGTTATTAAATTTCATTCATGAGAAAATTCTATTCATTCTTCGCTTTCCCAGGACACCCTGATCACTCACACAAATCACCTCCAGTGGAGAACAACACAAGAGCCAGAGCTTCTGTTGGGCTCTGCTGTCAGACAAGTTATTTTACATGGGCCATTTGTGTTTTTAATGGGGAAAGTCTTTTTAGTTGATTTATTCATCAAACGATAAGTGTATAAATGTGAGTGTTATTACATAATTAATGGCATTTTTCCAGTGCAAGCTTTATTCATGTGAGTAAACTATTATCATCATTAATGCAATACTGTATCTTGTCTGTTCAGCAATGAAGGAAAACAATGAGGACTTCATTGACCCTGTAGTTTATTTAAAATAATGAAAGTGAACCTAAGAGTTTAGAAAGAGAAGAACTTATACATAAAGGAGATGTTATAAGACCTTCATTTGACAGTGCCATCATTAAGATTATAATAGGATAGAATAAGTCAGTCTTAAAAAATAGCAGATGAATTCAGCAGAAATTTTAGGTCAGATATCCTAAAGCAATTAATTATAAAGATTATGCTAACACAAAAGCAAGCATGCAAGGAAGGAAATGTACACTCTTTATCTTGAAGAATTAATGAGCAAAGATTTTTTTCCTCATGGTTAAATCTCTGAAACACATTATGATGAAATTTGCTTCCTGAAATGGTACAACGTAGGTAGCTACATAATCTACTGATGGTTCCAATTTTTCACTTGACTAATGTCTTTGAATTCTTCCAAAATCTGGCTTGGTGAGCACATTCTCTTTGGTTATTCTGTAGAAGGATTAGAGGCAGGAGCTACAAAAGAGTGGTACATGACATGGTTATTTTTAAACACATAAAGAAATCATTGCACAAAATAAATTTCAGGATTCTAAATTCTTACAGTTGTCTTTGAATATAAGTAGTAAAACAAAATGAAAGGCATCTCCATGCAATTTAGCTGTATTGGAGATTTTTTGGGGGCGGGGTGTAAAGAAAACACAGATTTTTTTTTTTTTTTTTTTTAGCAAATCTATTCTAGAAGCCTGTATAAGAAACAAATATAATTATTTTGCTTCTACTGTCTCAAGAGCTGGGAAGCTAATAGATAACAGAGAGCTGGTCTATGAGGCAGACCAGAATGCCAAGCTACTAAGTAACTGGGTTGAATTATATATGCCTGTTTGAATGACAAGCTTGCAAGTCTATAAGATCTTTTTTAGGAATAGCTTTTTTCTTTCTTTCTTTCTTCCTTTTTCTTTTTTCCTGCATGGAAACTTACTTCTGAGTTCCTTTCTGATTCTAGTGCATGAAAGAAGGGCAAAAATAAGCTCGTCTTCCCCATTGTACCCAGAATCTTCACCTTCTTGGTTGGGAGGTTGGACTAACGTTTATGGATTTATTTTTATGTCTCAGGGAGCACATTGAAGGGATGCGAGAGTCTTTGCTATTATAGAAACAGGGCATTTTCCACTATTCTCTTATTTGAGTGCTATAGGAACTATACCCCAAACATTCCCTATGACAGATGGTCCAGTGGGGTCACATGGGGGCAGATGACTTACTCTCATTCCTCACTAAGCACAAAGCACGTGCAAGTTCAAGGAGGTTAAAGCAGTTCATTACCTTAATTGTTCCCTAACATTGATTCTTGTTGAGAAGGAATAGTCACTCTCACCTTTCATGCCTTTGACTTGTAAATCAGTTTAGAAAAATATTTCATAAATGGACAAAAACATTTTCAATGACTTTGAATTCTCTGGCATTTCCTGTGTGGGGGCATTCTGTTTTAGAACTCATTTCACAAACTTACTAAGATGCTGTGGGTAATTTCATTTACACAAATATAGGGAAGTTAAGGGAAGTTAAATGATTCTACACTGGTTCGCCTGTCTTTGCACTGCCTTTACACATATGTGAGACATAAACAGAGAATGAATCAGATCATTCATCCTACTGACGTGGAAGTGCATGTGATTCTTGGGGACACTGTATTCTGTCTACTTCTGTGGTTTTGCTAAGCTGCCCTTCCCCTAGAACTGCTTGCCCTGGGTCATATCCATCTCTTCTTCATGAATGACCCCATGTGATTCCCTTTCCAGAAACCTTTGCTACCTCTGCCTGTCACTCTTCTATCTTAAAATGACTCCCTTCAATAACCACTTCTCTTTCTTCCATTAGACTCTCAAGTTCTTAAGACAGAGATTCATATGAGTACATAATGTGGGTGTGATATCCAGGCCACAGTAAGCATTTAATTCATGCTTGTTGCATTTAATTGAATTAAATTTACAAGGGCATTCTAATACACTGTGGTGTGTTAATTGCCCCAAACTTTTATGGCCTACTCCCCAGAAATTCAACATTGCATTTAAAAAAAAGGAGGGGGGGCAGGGCTGGGTTGTGGTTCAGGGGTACAGCGGCTCACCTAGCACGCGTGAGGCACTAGGTTCCACCCTCAGCACCACATAAAAAGGTATAATGTCACCAGAATAAGTAAGTAGCTCGAAGTGCACAGAAATTTAGGAAACAAAATACTAGGATTTAGGAGGCAATGATTCCCTTTTTAAACTGCATCAAAACTTTTCTTTTTTCTTTTTTAATAAGGCAGACAGAAGAGGGCTATTTTACAGATATTTGTTCCAGCTGCAGGTCTCATTATACAGTAATCAAGAGTGAATCTGGCATCTGACTCAAAAGCTTTTGTTGTTTTAAGTATCTGCAGATTGAGTTTAATTAATCTTTTTAACTGAGAATCACAGCTATTCCATTCATTCTAGTAACAGGAACTTCCTAAGACTGTGGAATTAGGTAATAATCATTGTTAAATTTTAAGAATTCACAGGGTAATCTGCTGGGCCAAATCCTGCATGTAACTGTGTAGTTGTGGTAGAGATCTTTTAAACTTTAATTTTTTATGATCCCTAAGTCTGGAAAACCTAGCAATTTCTTAGAAGATAGGTCCTTGATCCAGGGTGGAAACTTTAAATCTGGAGGTTTTCAGGATCCACAAATCTGGCAAGAGTTTTGATAATTATGGGAAAAACTTGACTTGATTTTGTAGAAAGCAGAATAGATCCCTTTTGCTGAGCACTCAAACTCATTCCATAAATTTGTTCTTGGTGTGGACCTTTTCCAAAATAGATATTACTTGGGTTTTCACTTCAGGCAAAATATGCTGGGCACTATACGCTTTCTTAGTGATAGGTCATAATCAATGAAATAATTGCGATGGACTGGGGATTTAGAGAAGCAGGAGAAACTGTAGCCACTCCTCAGCTTTTATGAATTGCTGTCATGATGATATGAGGATACATTTTCCCCCAGGGGAATACTAATATCTGGATTTGTTTTCAAAATGTAAAAATCTCCAACTTTTTAAAGGTTGGCAATAACTTCTCTTTTTGAAAAACACTATGTGGATCGATACTGTTCTGCGAGAACAAAATGTACCTGCAATTCTCCACATTGACTTCCCACTGTGGAGTGGAAGTGAAAACAGGACCAAGAGCTGGGCCAGCTGTGCAGAGCAGGTCACTGAGGAACGGAGCCTGCAGCTCCCAGGCTGGGCACTTAAAATGGCCGAGAACAGTTTTAAAGGCTTTATTTACCTATGGTAGCTCATTTCATCCTCACTAAGCTCTAGAAGGTTGATACTTCACTATCTTAGGAGCTTGCCTAAGGTTACAACATGCATAAATGTTGGAATATGGATTTGAATTCAGTTCCTGGCTCCACGTCTGGAACTATTCAAATTATATCTAGAGTTGGGTCTCCTAGATACATAACACTGAAGTTTGGGAAATAATGAAGTACACAAAAGAACTTGTTTTTTCTCTTTCACTTATATTTGATTTACTTTTTCTTTCTTTCTTTCTTTTTTTAAAGACACTCTGTGCCTAGGGAAGAATCTCACTAAGATAAAGACAATTTTCACATTACAAAAAAATTAATTCCCATTACAAAGAAATTAATCTTATAAAAGTAACATTAATAAAATAGAATCTAAATGAATCCTGATTGGTTATCCCCTCCCCAGCTCAGAAAGAAATAGCTTACTAATTCATTTCCCTCCCAAAAGGCAAAAGACAACCCAAATACCTGTCTGTCCCATTTCAGCAGAACTTAAAGGCAAGTCTGTGTCTTCCAAGGAGACAGGTTTTATGACTGGTGGACTTTTCTATGAATAAAAAAAATCAGAAAACCATTAGCATCACATTTCAAAATCAAAGACAACAAAAATTAAAACACCTCAGATTAAAAATATTTCTTCTACAGTATTTTTTCCTTTTGGCTGAAATTCACTTTGTAGAGTTTTTTTTAAATATTAATAAACATTGATTTAAACTTACACTTACATTTCTAAATAAAATGTGTTTGGTATTCAGTAGGTGCAATATCATCCCATATACAGACTCTTCCATATGTCCTTGTTGTAATGAATAGTGAAGATAGAAATAAAAAGAATGAGGGTATGATTCCTTAGTTACGTTAACCAGATCAAAATTCTTCTGTAAACACGTAGAAAATTCTCTAGATTTTGCCAACTATTTCATTGACTTTTTCAGGTTTTATAACACTGACCAAAAGAAAATACTTTCAGCAAGTATTCTCAAATAGAAGATGATTTTCCTCTGATATTTATACTTCAGACAGGAAAATTCATCTCATATTCAAATACTTTAAAAATCTCTCAAAATTCAGGTTAATAAACAACTTTACTTGAAAATGACCATAGATCATAGAATTGGGTGATTATTAAAGTTGCCTAGAGAAAGACTTTAAAAGGAAGCAGACAAGAAGCACTGTAGGTAGATTTGCCATCATTCATGTTGATATGGCCCCACCACAGCTGTGTGGTCACCTCTGCGAATAAGCTTTTTTAAAAAAGAGTTCAGATAGTGCTTATGGTCTAAAGACCACAGAGCGAGATTAAGAATAGAAGATGAATGCACACCCAACTGTACCCATCTAATGTAGTTAGGAATTTAGGATGTAGGATACAGATCCAGGGACAGCATCAAAACTACACAGATAGATGTTGTGTCTTAGGTGGAAGGTTATGTATTTTGGGAAGCTGTATCACATGCATTTAAAAATAGCTTTAGAGATTTTTAAAAATCACAGGCTAAAAATTCATGGGTGGATTTTGAAAAATCTGCTTTGGGAAATTTGAGAATAGTAAAGCATTAAAGTTTTAAACACATCTAAATATATATAATACTATTTTAAATATATTGTAGGCTAAGTAAATAGTATAAATTTAAAAATTGACTATTTTATCTGTCTTTGGGAAAATAGGGGATAGATTTCTAAATGGAGTTTACCTTATATTGGGAAAGGGATAAGGAGGAGGAGGGGAAGAAGATGCAATAATTCTGTTGGAGTGATTCATGTGTCCAATTGAGAAAAAAATTGGAGTTTGATGCAGTTTTGTTTCTCTATGTGTTTTAGTTGTATTCAGAAGAATAAGCCCACCAAGAGTTGTTCACATGGATACATAAAGCAAAATTACAAAACCAAATTCTTACCTTGACCAGTCGCCTGATACAGAAAGAAATTAAAAGGATTGTTCCAATGATGCCAAACATTACCGCAAAAATAATTAATATTATCACTGTGAGAGAAAAAGAGCAGGAAAATTACCAAAAGTGTGAAGTGAACTACCACATATCAATTGAAATATCAAACAGGTAAAATGAGTGATATCTCCTTGCCTGTTCAGAGAAAATACATTAATACTGCATAATTTTATGCATATTTTATTTTCAAAAATTGGGATTTTTTTACAATAAATTTTTGGGAAAATAGAACTCTGTGTGATAGAATCTTTTTTTTTTTTTAACCCAAGCCACACAACTAGTTAATGACAGAAACAAGACCCCAGAGCTCTGATTTCAAGTCCTGTGCTCTTTAAAGGAATAATCATAGATGTGCTAAATAGAAAATCTACCTTAATAGGGGGAAAACCACAAACACTTTCATGAGTTGAACATTACGAGAGAAAACAATGTTTTACTGTATCAAAGGCTATCCAAGGTCCGTCAATGGGTTGCAGAATCATAAGTTTGGTAGGAAACTGGCAGAAACCGTTTACAAATAGTAAATGAAGCCTAGGGAAGCTACGGAATCCAGGTCACCTCTGCTCTGAGCTTGTGTTTCTTCCATAGCATTTTTATGCGCAGTCACTGATACAGTGACCAAAAATATTTTCAAATCCATTATGAGAATGAAGCAATTTAAACGGATTAAGTTAGAGGAAATCTCCATATTCGTAAAGAGAACTGACGGCTGGGGATATAAGAGAAGATGGTGTGCTTATTTGGCTAATTGATTTTGAAAAGATCTATTCTTGATTAGAAAAGCAAAAGCAGCTTTTAAAAAAGTTCTGTCCTCCCACTGATGCTGTGTAGTCCCCTTGGCTTTATTGTATGAGATGGTGATGAAGTTCTACCTCCATTTTTTTTTTTTTTTCTCCATGTGAAATGTGGACACGGGCCAAATGTGAAGGGAGACTTGGAAATGCAGAACAGTAAACGAGCACATAAATTTACTGGCCGGATCCATAGCAGCACCTAAGGAGCAGGGAGCATCACCAGTTACAGTGGAGGTAAAAGGAGCCCCCAGTGTGGGAACCCAGGACCAAGATGGATCCTAAGGCATGAAGGGCATGTGTTTAGCTTTGACACAGTGCCGATTGATTAGGTGATTTTTAAGCTCCTTGCTTTCTGTATGTTAGGAAAGAGGGAGGTTCAATTGTTTTTATAAGGGAAGAGACTCTTCTCATGGTCAAGTACAAGTTTTTCTTAAGAGAAAATTATCAGGTCATGTATTGTTTTCCAAATTGTTTTAAAAATCAGAAGTGCTTCTGTTAACTCTTAAATGAAAAGATTTACTTGCTTTTACAACTTTCTGTGGCTAAGGTTAAGGACATAGACTCTTCTGGCTTTTTAATATGGATACTCCTTGTTCCTTGAGTATTTAAAAGCAGCAATATGTAATTTAAAGTGGAATTCTTATCTTTCCATAGCAAATGCAAACGTACCTGGTTCAGAGAAAGGGTGTATAATTTGATTTCTTCCTAAAAAGACAAAATTTCAACATAAATCAGAAGAGTAAGATATGTCTCAGAAACCATCTTTTAAAATCAGATTGTTTAGGGGGGGGTTCTTTTTGTTAATCATGCTTTATAGGGTTTTGGTCAATTTTTAACATCAAGCTAATAAAAATCATCAGAAGGTGTCATAGTAATTTTAGTTTGCAATTTTAACTAACAAGTAGAGAAGTCTGCAAACTATTTAATTAAGAGAAAGGGTGTGAGAAAGTACTGGAAGAGCCACCTGTCAACATCCACAAGAAGCAGAGCATTTTAAACAAATGTAAAAAACGACAAGAAGAAAGGAGACACACTGAGCAGCCTTCCACACTAGTTCAACCCAAAGAGGGGTCCTATGGCTGTCGATTTTCCAACTCTCTGCCCCGGGGCTGTCGGAATCCAAATCCTGATTGTGTCCCACTGGAGCTTCTACCCATGGACCCCCTTCCTGTCTGTGGAAGTTTCTAGAACTGCCTGAGAGTTCTAATATGGTTAACCTTCCCCATTCATCCACATTTTGAATTTCTTTTTCTTTGGCACCATGAAGCCCTCTGACTACCAGAGCTACACAATTTTCTCGAATTCCATTACAAACCGTACTTCACACTATGTGGTATCATGTGGACAAGGACTTGGTTATGCTTTTGTCATTTTTTAGCAGTCACATATAGATGTTCGTTGTATACAGGTTCGTTGAAGCTTATCCTCTCTTTCTTTGTGGCAGAGTACATAGGCTTTGGAGGAAAACAGATGGGTTTCAGTAACGTAGATGCCTCACTTAATTGATGGGTGCTTTAGTATTCCCCTTGCCACAAAATGAAGATTATAATGCCTATCTCTTCAGGTTCCTGTGAGGATAAATTAATTAATGCTTGAAAATATTTAGCAAAATGCCATGCTGGCCGTTGCTTGTAGGATACACGGCGTGTAGCACTGCATATGCATATCCATCAGGAGAGAGTTGTGGCGCCTGCCCAGCCTTATCTCAGCACACAGCTGGGTTTACAGCTATCACTCATGAGGCACGGGTGACAGGGCAGGGAGCTATGCACTTTGACACAGGTCCTACTTGATCTTTCGGGAAACACGGTGAGGCAGGCATGATTGGCTTCCTTTTAACGTTATGGGATGGAGGCCCTGCAAAACCATTCACTCAGGGTCTACAGGGGAACAGGGCCAGCCAGCTCTGAGGCTCCTGGACCTGCCCACAGGTGTTCTCAGTACCACACTCTGGGATCACTGTGTGTGGGATGAATGGTCCCATTTGTCATTTCTGTGTTTTGTTAGACGGTTTTGATTTCTTGAACCCCTACTGCTATCTCAGCGTGACCTAGGTTCCTTAGCTGGAGGCACAGTTTCCTGGAGGAGCTACAGACAACATGAGACTTCCTCTGCAGGAGGCGTCTACTTAGCCTGTACTTCTCAGTGTCGGGTCCCATTAAGTAGCACTGTATCAGCATAAGAACTTCAGATCCAATCCTTAAAATAAAAACAAACCTAGTTTTGCTCCTGGGTCGGAGGGGTCTCTGGTGGTGACAGCAGCCTCTTCATCTCTCATTGTAGGAGGGACCTTTGGGGAAGTATTTACTGTATGAAATAGAAAATGAGAAAGGGGTCAAGAATGAGGTGACTGAGTAAACCCTAAAACATATCGCCAAAGATAGTTTTATCCCACATCCCTCCCACGGCCAACTCCAGAATCCCTACCCAGCAGGGACACACCGATAAGGTCTGACTCATTTTCTAAACAGCTGCAAAATGATGGCACCTGCCTCAGTCTGGAGGCAGAAGGCTTTTTTTGCAGGCTTCCTCAGAGATAATGTCACCTGGGATGTACCAGTGTCCCTGCACGCTCAGTTTCCTGGGGAATCCACAGACAACTGTCACTTCTTCTCTGACACCTCTGTCTTCTCTAGGGCAGAGTACCCAAATCAGCTGCCAGGAATCCATTGGCCCCCAAATCATGGAGACAAGATTCATTGTCCCCAAACTGTCCACAATGTTTTCTCTTCTTATAACATTTTTCTTCATCTTGTTCTTTTACTTGGAAAAGATCTACATTTTTTTTTTAAAAACGCACTGTTTCTTATGCAAGTTGACAGGTGGCCTTTTCAACACTTTCTCACACTTTTTCCCTTAGTAGGAAGCTTTGCCAATTTCTTACTCATGAATACTCGCGGGGTTATTAAAAGCAGATACTGAAATTGCTAATGGTAAGACTGACACATTATCTAATGAATATAATCAGGCTTTCCACATGATTCCACTGCATATCTATGAATAATTGCCACACAAATTAACTAAATATCATGCAAAATAGTTGTTAAATGTTTCTAAATTCTTCTTTAATATTCAGGTATAAGTATATAAATATTTTTTTAACTACCAACATGGTGACAGATATTTTTGAGGTTCAGAAAACATTAAGATTATCATTATGAAAAGAAATATTTTCCTTAAAATCAATAAAAGAATGCCCAAATTATAAAAATAGTAATGGATGAAGAAAAATAAACTATATCTCTTAGTAAAGTTAGATATGAGCTTTAGCTTGCCACCTACTGCTAGAGAGTGGTGAATATGGGCTATCCATCGTATTTTGTAAAGGTGTGCAGTTTGAGAAATTATATCTATCTATGAAAGTGTTATGAGAACAGATAGCAAAATAACCAGAAGAAAGAGATCAGATGTGTTGAAGGTCAGAAGCAACGGGCAGACTTTTAATAAGAACTCAAAGTCAGCCTCAGGCTGACTGCACAGGAATACAACTGAAACAGGCACATAAAGCTTGCTCCCTCCTCTTCCCTTCCATGCCTAACCACCCCCTTCTATGATTTTTGCCCTTAAACCTCCACTCCTGGTGTAGATCTTTCAATTCAGTGTAGGCCATTCACACTGGGGACACACCTACAGTCTCTTGTGAACACCAAATGGACTCTTCCAATACATAGAACTTGTTCCCAAGATTCCAGGGCTGGCTTGTTTAGAATATCCTCAGTACTAAACAGTGCCGGGACATGAAGGATGTCCAGTGAAACATGAATAGTTATAAGTGATCAAATTATTATGAGAAAGAGGATGAAATGATGGTGTTTGCAAATGAACAAAATGAATTATGCCAAATGCCAAAGGGTATCTTATGGAAAACGAGAGCAACCATCGGAAAAATCTGTCCATAAAAGACCAACAAAACATTTTCAACATTTCCATGATGAGCACACACTTTTATAACTAGAAGGAAAAAAAATCTAATGAAAATCTTGCATGAAACATAAAGATCAGCGTATTAAATGTGTTAAATGTTGAACATTTAACTAAGACCCTCTAGGAGTTCTGGCTGTGACTATGAACATGCCTCTTCCAGGTTTTCTAACTGTTCCACAGGACCTTGGGCACCACCTGAGTGGGGTTCTGTGGGACTCCACTAGAGAGATGCATTCAGTCTGTGGAATGGAACCTCACTGTTCTTCATGGACACCCAGGAGGCCTTGTGTTATCCAGTCCACACCTGCTTGATTGGACACTCTGCTCCTCTCTCTCTGGGGGTGGAAGCATGCTGTATGTTCCAAGCCTCACGTCCTTTCCATATCCAAACCTTTCTTGTTGCACCAGAAATCCTTCCCTCCTCCACCTCGCCCAGCTGGTTTTCAAGTCTAGGTTCAATGTCACTTCATTCAGAAGGATTTCCCTGACCTCCCCTCGTTAGATTTAATCTGAAATCTCCATGAAGTCCCCAGTGCTCAGGGTGACAGGGAAAAGGCCCCATAAAGCCTCAAGACTGACTCTTGCAAATCCAGGTATGTTTCTTGGGCCTTGATGGTTATTGAAGACCTTTTGTGTTCATTTATTTGTCCGTTCATTTACTAAAGTTTTTTTTTTTTTTCAAGGATATTCTAACTTAGTAGAGGACAAGTATTTAAGTCTACTAAAGTGCTTTAGGATGGTGGAAGAAATGGGGGCACAAGGGAGACAGCACTTAAATATTTGATGGAGAAACCATGGAAAGACCTCAAAAAGGTGTTCTTTGAATTTATCTTGAAAGAGGTGTAGGATGTCACCAAGCTCACTGTTCTGGACATGGAGATATAGAGTCAGCGTCTTCAGCAATGTCCTGGAATTTAAGATATCACTGGAAACTGGGAGAACTGTAAGGGACCTCGTGGCTGTGGCATGATGTGTGGCCAAAAAAAAAACTGAGATGTGGGCGCACAGCAGAGAGCAAGTCTGAAGCAGGTGAAGCACCACATGTTAGGAATCAGGCTTTGGAATGTGGACTTCATCCTTCAGCAACGAAAAGCCAATAGGGGTTTAAATCAAATTTCCATTTGGAGAAGACCAGGGTCAACAGCATAGAGAAGAATTCAACCTCAGCTGCTTAAGCTACTTTCAAAATTCAAGGTAAGGAAACTCAAACCCTACAGTGTGTTCCCCTAACAACCACCAAGTATGTGGCAAAGGAAAGCATGCCCAGAGATCTGCATAAGAGCACCCTCGTGTGATCACGAGTGGCCCAGATAAGCAGCCCCTGTGTGGACAAATCACCTCACCACCACCCTGGCCTTACAGTGGGTGCTTATCACTCCCTGATGTTGCCTCCCAGGAAGTTGGCCTGTAGCCTGGGGACTTAGAAGGACAGAAAATTATCGCCATTTATAAAAAGAAATAAGGCCAATGCCCTCAAATAGAATCAAACATCTCTTAAAACTAGCACTTTTATACTTTTAAGTATAAACAAAGTCAAAGAAGGTGAAAAGAATATTTTACATTTATAAGCAAAGCATATGTAACTTTGCGGGGCGGGGAGGTAACAAAATGAGAAAATGTTTCAGGAGAAAGACAGAAAAAGCTCATTAAAATAAGTTTTGAATTTTATAAAAAACAATTTTCACCCCCTAGCAAACAGGTAGAATATTCTTCAGAGGAAAAAGAGCATTGAGTGGAAATTTTGTTCAGAAGAAGTAGAAGTTCTGAAGATGAAAAACTGTGCCCAAGTTGACAGAGCAGAATTCCTACTCTGACACTGGCTTTAAAACCTGACCTATGGTGGGCCACAGTGCCTGTCTCTCCAGCTCACATGGAATAACTTCCACCCAGACTTCTAGCAAGGTTCTAAATTTTAGTCAGAACTGGGGACTTTCTGACAGTGAAGGCTACACATTATTTAGGGGAACACTGTCCTTGAGGCAATTTCCAAGAACTGTACACACGTTAGTCCCATCTGAGCACGTCATGTTCTATCTGTGCACTTAAGAAAATGGATCGGTGGCCAAATTTGAGACTGAAATTTACCATTTATGGTCCTAAAAATACCTGTTTTGATTAATTCTTTAGGTTTAGTTGCTTTGATACAATTTCTTTCCATAGTCACCTAAGTCAACACAGTAAGGAGGTAAATGCACAAATGCCTTAAAATTTGTTGATAAAAATATTTTAAATCATTTCTCAACAATCTAATAACAGTAGCTGAACTATAAAATGATCTTGGTCATAGTTTTTCCTCCATTGTCTGAGAAAGATAGAAAACCTCATAAGCATTCCAACAGAAATTATACCCCTGCTTGTTTAGCAGTAACAGGAGGGCACAGAGACTTGTTAATGAAAATATGTTCTTTATAAAACATTGTCAGCTTGAAAGAACAATAGCTCCAATCACATAAATAAGCTCTTCTTTCTGCTTATATTTTTTTAATAATTAATTAAAATTTAAATAACTTGCTAGGTATTCCAAGATAAGATTCACTTGGGACAATTGAAAGAATTTTATCAACAACCCTCAAATTAAGTAAACCAGCATCTGGTTGGGAAAAACAAATCAACAACAAAAACCCCACAGTTTACCTGAAAGGACAAACAAAAGAAATATCTGTTTATTCAACCTCAGATGCTTAAGCTACTTTCAAGATTGCAGGTAAGGAAGGAAACTCAAGTCCTACAATGTGTTCCCGCAACAACCACCAACTTATGTTTAAATACTACACTTGATAGCAACAACCCACACTTCCATCTGCCGGTCCTAAGTTCTAAGTCTCTGCTGAACTAAAAGACATCTGCGGACATATTCCGTTGTGCATGGCTGAAAAATATTTATGAATATGTAAATTTTGAACAGGGATTTTTACTAACTCATCTTTAGTTCAGTAAACTGGATGGAAAGCATCCAAGCAAATTTGTAACTACTAAACAACAAATGTAGTTTGCCTAAACTTCTTATATATTGGATTTCCCCAAGAATTTCTCTCTTCCTTTGTGTATTTTTTTGTGCTCAGGGCTCCTAGCTTTCTGTACCTAAAACAGCATTCAGAAACTTGTTTCCATTGTTCCCAGTTTAAAGGTTGGCTTAAATATTATCCTGCTGAATTCAGAATGTACCTTTCAGCTAGAAGGCTATTCACAGAACACCTACTCCAACTCTTTGGTTTTACAAATAAGACATTTGGTATCATAAAAAAAAAAAATTGATTCGCTAGCAGGTAAGGACAGAACTGAGACAGTCCTGCTGATTCCCAATGTTATTCCCACCTTCCAGATTTCTTAGATGTTTCAGCCTATCTGTCAGTGAACACTGAAGGAGGGTTAGAGTTTTAGAT